ATAAACTAATGAACAATAATAGATACAGAGGCAGAGCAGCATCGAACAGACTGTCAAACTACAGCGGGAAGGCCGGGGAGGGTTGGGGGGATGGGGTAAAGGATCAACCGAAGGACTTGTATGCATGCATATAAGCATAACCAATGGACACAAGACACTGGGAGGTAGGGGAGGCCAGGGGAAGGTCAAGGGGAGAAAAAAAGAGACATATGTAATACTCTTTGTAATACTTTAAGCAATAAAACAAATTTTTTTAAAAAATTCATTTTTATGGCCAAGTAATATTCCATTGTATATATGTACTATTACATTTATATCCACTCTTCTATTGATGGGTCCTTAGGGAACTTCCATATCTTGGCTATTGTAAATAATATATAAAAGGCTAAGTAACTGTCCATACATCCGTCCAACCATCCCACTGACTGGTACATATGACGCACACTGGCAATTTAAAAATAAACGTTGACTCACTCCCCATGCGTGATACATATAAAGTTCTCACTGGTGCCAATCGCATGCATGGGTTTCAATCTGTCATTGTCGACCGTGAATTTGGTTGTTTTTGTTGACATTTCTATTATAAAGGGCAAGTAGCAATATTAAAATATTTCTTCTAATTAATTTCCTATCAGTGTGCACAAATCCGTCCACCGGGCCACTAGTTGTAAATAATGCTGCAATTAACTTAGCGGTGCAAATATCCTTTTGAATGAGAGTTGGGGGTTTCTTTGGATGTACACCAGAAGTGGAATTCCTGGGTCATTAAGGTAGTTTTAATTTTTGCTGTTTGATGATTTATTGATGATAGCCATTCTAACAGATATGGTTTTAATATGAATTTTCCTGATGATTAGTGATGTTGAGCATCTTTTCATGTCTATTGGCCACAGGTATATTTTTTATGCAATTGTGATGGGATCGTTTTCTTAGTTTTTCTTTCTGATAGTTGGTGTATATAAAAATGCAATCTCAATTTCTGAATATTTATTTTGTATCCTGCAACTTTAGTGAATTTATCAGTTCTAGTAGTTTTTTGGTAGAATCTTTAGGGTTATCTTGTCATCTGCAAATGACATTTTTACTTCTTCCTTTCCAATCGAAATGCCTTTTACTTTTTCCTTCTGTGTCTAACTGCTGCGACTAGAACTTCCAGTACTATATTGAATAAAAGTGGTGAAAACAGACATTCCTGTCTTATTCCTGATCTTAAGAAAAACATTTTTAGTTTTCCCCCCTTGAGTATGATATTAGCGGTGGGTTTGTCATATATGGCCTTTATTATGTTGAAGTATGTTCCCTCTATTTCTAATTTGCTGAGAGTTTTTAATCATAAATTGGTGCTGGATTCTGTCATCTACTGATATGATCATATGATTTTTACCCTTCATTTCATTTATGTGGTGTATCATATGAAATGATTTTCAGATACTGAAACTTGCATCCTCTGAATAAATCCCACTTCATCATAGTGTATGATCTTTTTACTATATTACTGATTTCAGTTTGCTAATATTTTATTGAGGACATTTGCATCATGTTCATCAGGGATTTTGGCCTATAATTTCCTTTCTTTGTCATGTCTTTATCTAGTTTTAGAATCAGTATAATGCTGGCCTTGTACAATGAGCTTGGGAATCTTTCCTCCTCTCGAAGTATTTGGAGAAGTTTGAGGATAGGTGTTAGTTCTTCTCTGAATGTTTGGTAAAATTCACCCGTTAAGTCATCCAGTTCATGACTTGTGCTTATTGGAAGTTTTTTGATTACTATTTCAATTTCATTGCTTGTAATCAGTCTGCTCAGAATTTCTGTTTCTTCTTGTTTTAATCTTGGAAGATTGTATGTTTCTAGAAATTTATCCATTCCTTCCAGATTATTCAATTGTTCATACTATATTTTTTTTATACTCCTTTGTATTTTTGTGGTGTCAGTTGTCACTTCTCTTTCATTTCTGTTTTTATTTATTTGGGTCCTATCTTTTTTTCTTATGTGTCTGTTTAAAGGTTCATCAATCTTACTTATCTTTTCAAATAAGCAGCTTTTGATTTCCTTGATCTTTTGTATTGTATTTTAAACTGTATTTTATTTCCACTCTAAACTTTATTTCCTTCCTTCTATTCACTTTGGGCTTAGTTTATTGTTCTTTTCCTAGTTCCTTTAGGTTTAAGGTTAGATTGTTTGAGATTTTTCTTGTTTCTTAAGGTATGCTGTTATTGCTATAAATTTCCCTCTTAGGACTGATTTTGCTAGTGTAAGAGCCTCTGGCACAACTTCAAGTGTACCAACATTTGAATTTTGGGGTGCCAGCAGAAGAGAGAGAGCAAGATATTGAAAACCTATTTGAAGAAATAATGACAGAAAACTTCCCCTACCTGGTGTTTTTTTTCTGAAAGGTATTCTTTAAGAAGAGGAAGAAGAAAAAGGTAAAGATACAAATTATGAACAACAAATACACATCTATCAACAAGTGAATTTAAAAATCAAGTGAATAAATAATCTGATGAACAGGATAAACTGGTGAATATAACAGAATCAGGGGCATAGAAAGGGAGTAGACTGACAATTCTCAGGAGAAAAGGGGTGTGGGTGGTGAGGGAAGAGACTGGAAAAAGAAATCATACACCTATGGATGAGGATGGGGCGGGGGGAAGTGTAAGGAAAAGGATGGGATGGGAACCTGGTGGAGGGGAGCTATGGGGGGAAAAAAGAGGAACATCTGTAATAATCTGAACAATAAAGATTTAATTTTTTAAAAAAAGAACCTGATTATAAAACAAGTTAACAACTAACAATTTCATATCCTAGTTGAGAAAAATATTAAAAGTGTATAGGTTCCTGGATAAAGAATATTACAACATACTGAGTTTAACTGACATCTGATTTTTAAATTTTTTTTATTATAGTTGGCACAAAATATTATACTAGTTTCAGGTATATAACATAGTGATTCAACATTTATATACCTGATGTGATCACCACAATAAGTCTAGTAACTATCTGTCACTGTGCAAACTTATTGCAATATTATTGACTATATTCCCTGTGCTGTAATGACATGTGATCTTTTTACCCAAAAGCTAAGAGCTTTAGGAGGGAAAATGCCAAACTAATGAAAGACTTTATCGATGAATCATGAGAAAATTTTTTCTCATAAGATCATTTTTTAAAATGGTGCCCCTAGGGCTCTTTGAACTCTAAAATTCAAGATGTAAAATCCTTATTTCCTGTCATTTTCCCTCCCAAAACCAACTGCTCTTGAATGTTCTCTAATGCTATGGAAGCAATCACTTTCAGCATCGGGTGCTGAATCTCAAAACTAGAGCCCTCCCTTCCCTGACCCCTCACATCCAAAATATGACCAGCCCCCATCAATTCTTCCTTAGTAGCATTTATATCACCATGCCCTGACACGGCCCTAACACAGGCCCTCACTTCTGGGACTCAGAAACAATCTTCCAATCCAGTGTTTGCGGTTTCAAAATTCTGCAGACTGCTGGAGATTATTATGCCAAAGTAGAATAGAGCTCCATTATCTAGGACATATGGCCTAAATATCAAACCTCCATACTACAGGCTTTTCATGAACTAGTTCCATCATATGACTTCCATGCTATTTCCTGTCTCATTAACACCTACTTATTAGGTGTTAAACTACCTAAGGCAACAAGAATGGCCTCATAAATGTCCTTTGCTCTGGGAAGATTTTCCAAATCGCCTGAGACTATGACAGTTCCTCTGCCACAGGACTTCACTGTACCATGAACTTGCCCAACAAGAGCATATTTTAGTTGCTTCAGAAGTTACCTCCCTTATCCTACTCAATCTTGCCAAGACTGCTTACTTTGTGAATATATACCCGGCCAGGGCTTCTCACAGTTCTAGATACTAGAATTCTAAGACAAAGGTTCCAGCAAACAGCCATCTTCTCTCTATGGCTTCATGTGGCCTTTTCTTAGTGTGTACACAAGGTTGGGTTGGGAGGCTGGGGGTGGGCATGCTCTAGTGTCTCTTCATATAAGAAAACCAATTCTGTCAGATTAGAGTCCCACCTTTATGGCTTCAGTTAGCATTAATTACTTTCTTAGAGACCCCATCTCAAATACAGCTACACTAAGGGGTCAGGACTTCAACCCATGAATTTTGAAATGACATAAACATTCTGTCTATAACAGTAGGTGACCCTTAAATTAGCCATCAGGAGGAGAACCAAGATGGTGGCATAGGTAAATGCTTGTACTTGTTGCCTCCCACAACCACGTCAAAACTAAAATACAGAACAACTGCATCCAGAACCACAGGAAAGCTGGTTGAGTGGAAGTACTATAACTAGAGAGGTAAAGAAGAAAGCACACTGAGACTGGTAGAAGGTACGGAGGCGTGGAACGGGCTGGTCCGGCATCCCAGTGTGCCACTTTTTTAACTGGGACAATATCAAGTACAACAACATTCACATTATAGGTGTTTCAGAAGGATAAGAAAGAGAGGGAGATATTGAAAACCTAATTATAGAAATAATGATGGAAAACTTCCCCAACCTGTTAAAGGAAACAGACACAAAAGTCCAGGAAGCACATACAGTCCCAAACAAGATGAACCCAAGGAGGCCCACCCCAAGATATGTCATAATTAAAATATCAAAGGTTAAAGACAAAGAGAGAATCTTAAAAGTAACAAGAGAAAAGCATTAGTTATGTACAAGGGAGCTCCCATAGACTATCAACTGATTCTGCAACAAAAACTTTGCAGGCCAGAAGAGAATGGCATAAAACATTCAAAGTGATGAAAAGCAAGTACCTACAACCAAGATTACTCTAACCGGAAGGCTATCATTTAGAGTAAGACAGATAAAGGGTTTCCCAGATAAGAAAACACTAAAGGACATGAGTTCATCACCACCAAACCAGTATAACAGTAGCCCACTCTTGACCTTTACTAATTTTTTGGTATTAATCTACCTTTATGGTGATATAATTCACATACCATAAAATTCAGCCTTTTAAAGTATACAATTCAGTAGCATAGTCATGAACATGTGCAAACAACACCACCATATAATTCAAGAACACTCTCATCACCCCAAAAAGAAATCCCATAGATATCAGCAATCACTTCCCAATCTGTTCTTCCCCTAGTCCCTGGCAACCACCAATCTACTTCCTATCTTTATGGGTAACTATTCTGAACATTTCCTATAAATGAAATCATATAATATGTGGCCTTTTGTGTCAGACTTTTTTCACCTACTACATGTTTTCAAGGTTCATCCATGTCTACTACTTTAAAAAAGCATTTTTAATGGAAAATTTGAATTAGAAACTAGGCAGAATAGTAGACTAGTAAACCTCTATGTATCCATCATCTAGCCTCAATAACCCCCAACCCATCCACACATCACATACCTCACCTGAATTGAATTCCAGATATTATATTGTTTCTGTGTAAATATTTCCATAAGGACATTTTATAATAGCTGTTCTAACACTTAGCCTCCTGATCAGAGTTTTCCTTATTTTAATGGCCTACATCTACGAAGAGCTGAATTTTCCCTTTGCTAGGCATTATTTACTTAAGAAATACACTGGATTCATACATTCTGCCTAATAAAAGCACTGAAGGGGAAAAACAAAGAGTTATGAACCAAAATCTCAGAGAAATTTCTCCACAGGCCAAGATTCGAAGTGATCTAAAATATGATAAACACCTCAATATTTCTTCTGACAGTCAGAAACACTCATATGGAGGTTGTTTACTTTTTAGTTTTCCCTCGTCATCCCGGAAAAGGCCTAGAAGTTTATTACAAGTGGGTTTTGCTTTTGTTTTTTAGCATGCACCAATTACAATCCAGAAAGCACTTCAAATGCCTATGTGAGGACTACATACAAAGTAATTTCACACAAAAGAAGAGCATTTATGAACCCAACAGAGAGACTTTAGGGTTTTTTAAATTATTGTTTTAGGAAAGGTAGCAAACAAGCAGATATTCACTGTTATAAGGTGAGGGGAAAATTAAGAGGAAAGAGAAGAAAGGAGAAGTAAGGATAAGGGTGGCAGAAGAATTCATGTTCAAATTACTCTTACCTTTTTGTGAGCAATTAGGAGGCAATTGGAATGTTCATGTTCACAAGCAATTTCATAGTCAGGGATCAGATCCACCAATTCACGGACAAAGCGTACCACTTCCTCATGCCAGGGCACGTTGGCCATGGTAAGACTGCTTGCTGAACTCTCTCCACAGTAGGTAACACCCTGTGGAGACATTACAATAGTTAGAGACAATTACAGACCTGTTTAAATGTCATAGAGAAAATTTCAGACCTAGAAAGGCTTCTAGAATTCATCCAAATCAATCCCATCTGTATTTTAAAGTGAAGAAAGTGATACAACGATGATAAAATTCTTGGGAACTAATGACAAGGACAGCACTGGTGCTCCAGGGCTGATCGATGTTCTTTTCACTCTATGACAGTGCTGGTGCTTGGGTACCTGTGCTTTGTGTCATGTATGACAATATTATTTAAACCAATACATATCTTTCCATTCAGATTCATTTGGGATCTATAATAGATTAATTCTCAAGGGATGACAGTCCCCTAGAATAATAAGGCAGGCATAGTTGACACCCATAAAAATTCACTGAACAATTTATTCACTGGGAAAATAAAATGAGCTCTCATTTTACGGTACAGTTTAGATTAGAGGTTGGTAAATTTTTTTTTGAGGTTGTTAAATTTTATGTTAAAGGCTGGATAGGGATCCCATTATTATTATTATTATTTATTCTTTAAAGACATCACTTTGTAATGCATTTTGTACATACACACACTCTCATGCCAAATAGGAAATACTTATGTGGATGTGTATACATGCATTTAAGCACACCTACATGTATCTCACCTCTACAGAAATACTTATTCAGTGAGATAACTTTGGTTCTGTTTTGAACTCTACCTGACAGCCCAGTCATATAAAATCCAAAAGTTTCATAGCTAAGTTCTCTACTTGGTAGATTACATAATGATAAATAATTCATTTTTAAATATTGGATATCTTAACTTTGTAGGCTCTTCAAATACCCCAGAATCAAACTTTCTTGACAAATGGTTTGAATATTCTAGATATGCTACTACTAAGTAGGGAATACTGAAATAAAAAACGTGCACCACACACACACACACACACGCCTCTCTCTCTCTCTCTCTCTCTCTCTCTCTCTCACACACACACATACACACAACCACTGTCATTAAAGGGGGGAGAATGACATTAAATGAAAAACCCACAAATGAACTCTGCAGAGTGACCCTGACCCTACAGATGGCAGAGCCAGGACTTGGCTGAAAACTCAGATGAGCTCTGCAGAACGCTCTGTTCCAGATGGCTGTGCAAGAAGATTGCTGGTCTACTAGACTGAGATGACCTTTGCTGGACACAAACCTTAGGTGACCCAGCTTAGTTCTAGCAAACAAGAGAATCTTCTCTATTAGCCCAATAATTTATTGAATTCATTAAACTGAGTCTGAGTTGTCGGTGAATTAAAAAAGCAAGTAGTTTTGAAAAATCTTTAAGAAAGCATAGCTGAAAAATTATGCTAAACATACCTGAATGTATAAAAAGCATGAAAATGATTTATTGATAGATAAAATTGGTCACAAAAACAAACTTTACTTCAATTTAAATACTGTTTATGATGCATGAATTATATCAACAGCCATGTATGGAACAGTTATTTCAAAGGAATTTATTTTTAATATTTAAAAAGCTAGTTCATTGAAGCAGAGGTTTTTAGATAAGATCTTATATTCATGACAATGGCTTTGGAAAATGTTTAATATTTCTTATTCAGCAATAATAAATCATGAAATATTAAGGAGATATTTGGCTTGGAAATGAAATTAGAGAATGAATGCCACACAGCTCATTATTATGCCTTCACATAATATTTCTCCACACATTCGCATGATGCTTTATAGCACTTTCACATAAAAGTTCTCATTTTAGCCAAACCAAATCTGCTGGGGTCGGCAGTACGGGTAGCTTGAACCATCCACAGAGCCTGAGCCTTCACCATGACAGAAATGCTTCGGGCAGAAACCGGTTCAGTGAACTGGTCTGTGAGTCACTTTCGGGAACCCCTGAGCCCTCACCAGTACAGCTCCTAATGCCTCACTCTGTGGTGCTCTCTGCCTTGGCTTCTTCACTTCTTCCAAACTCTGGTCTACCAATGACTTGTGCTGACTTTATCCCTGGTCACACTTAACCCTGAACTATCTAAAACCACTATCAGTTTCCCTCATATCATGGCTATCTGCCACCTTCTCACCCCACCACCACACCCCACACCCTCCCCATTTATTACCAACATCACGTTGTTTCCTCACCACTTTGAAAAAAGAACAACCTTAAGAAAACAGATGGGCACAATGTGGCAACTGGAAAGTAGTCATTCACTCCAGAATCTACCGGTTGAGGAGTAACAAGCAGACCCAAAGAGAGTTCCCAAAGACCAGGACCAACGGTGCATCTTCACGTTTGTAGTGAGAAGCATAGCCCACACCATGACCTTAGCACCTTTCTGATGGATTTCTCTGCTCTAGGAGATGGGGAGCATCAGGTCTTTTTTTACTGGCTGCTGGGAAAGTTTACCTAGGGATTCAAGGTATGCAGGTGAGCAGTATTTTGGCAGCTTGCTATTCTAATTAAACTGACTGGGTGTCTAAAGACTCCTGATCCTGTTTTTGTTCCCTAGAGTTTGATGAGAAATGTCTTTATGACATTCTGCAGCATGATACCCAAAACATGTCATTCCTATACCCTGAAAATGCTTCAACAGTCCCCTCCCCCCGCCTATAAAACAAACAAAACAGCCCAAGCCTCTCAACATGGCTTTGAGGCCTTCTTATTGGACTGTCTCATTCAGCATCCAGTCTTCACCTGCCTAATTCCTCCATCATCTCTTCAATCTCCAGTCAGGAAGCTCTACCTCATCTGGCCTCAATGTCATCATATCTTGTGCATGTCCCTTACCAGATAACTGGGATAATATGTCGAAATTCTGAGCCTATTCTTCTCTGGACCCCCAACCACTCTATGCTGAATGACCTAAAGATCAAGTTACAAACTCTTCTTTGATAAGAGAGCCCAGAACTCTTTTCTGATCTAATGTAAGATTTCATTCATATTACTCAGAATTTGTCTACTCTTTAACGATCATGAACCAACTGATAAACACTAGTTGGGTATTACCATGTGCATGAACAACTGGTACTATTCCTTATCTTCACAGAAAGAGTGAGGCTATGCTAACCCATTTGTTTTGCAAGATGCATTCTGCAAGGATTGAGTTCTTATAGACAGTTTCAGTGCAAAGGGTAAGAGAGTCTTATATCGTTTGACAGCAAATAAGTCCTGGGTACTTACTATTCTCAAGGTACAATGCCAGGAGAGAATACAAAGGCAGTATTTCATTTATAAATAGTGTTATAAAAGTTTTTCAATGAGATAGATGTTGGTAACATGAAACACATTTTCACAAACAAGCAAGCCAATAATGATGGTTAAGATTCTCAGGTTAGCAAAGAAAGGCCTATTTAAGCCTAACAAAGCTAAAATGTATGTTAGAAAATATAACAGAAAAACTATTTTACAAGACTAACACTGAAAGAAAAGAGGAAGTCAATGTACTAAATAGCTTCTATTGATTTAGTTTAAATAAATGTGCTTAATGGAAAGTGAGTTAAACATTTACTGAATCCAGGCGTACCCATTACGCCAATGAATTTCTCAAATCAAAGCTATTACATTGCTACTATCATTCTACTTTTAATCTTGAGGAAGTTTAGACTCAAGGAAGATAGTAACCTGTCCCAGCTCCTTCAGCACCTTTCAGGAATGTATCAAAGCTGTGCTCTTCTCTCTTCCCCACTTGAGACGCCAGTGTGTGCAGACTATGAAAGACTCCGGCACCCACCACATACACACACATCCAGGACATACAGACAAAGGATATGAACAATGTTTGCTTCTGCAGAGAGGAGCCCCAGGCATAGCACTAACCCAGGGTCAATTGGCACTATCCATTTCACATATTCAGAGCCTTTTTGTGACCTGGAGGCACTATTAAATTTTACCATCAACCCCTTTGAGGGATAGGTCCTGGAAAACTTTTTCACCAACAGCATAGGTCAGGGATAAATCTCCAAGTGCCATTCTGTGTCAGTGGGTAAATTTTGTCCTAATTCAGCCTTCAACTGAAGTTAAAAGCTTCTGTGCTTTAAACCCAAGTCCTGTCTCTGCCAGAGCTGACCTCCACACTTATATGATCTGGGGCCTATTTGAACCTATATGTGGTTCAAACCAACATAGAACACATGAAATTACTTCCCAAACTTACCTCCTTCCTGCCTGGGTCTTTCCATCTCAGTAGACTGTTCCACATCCACACAACTGTTTAAGCTAAAAATCCAGTGCTATTATTGATTCCTTTTGTTCTTTCACTCCCTACATATCATCTAGCAATAAGTTCTGTTGGTTCTACTTTCAAAATTTATCCTAAATGCGGCCATATTTCTCCAACATATATTACCAATGATCTTCCCCAATCCATCACATGTCTTGTTTGGATTAAGCAATAGCTTTGTAACTGGTCTACCTACTTCTACTATTGCCCTCTTTACTCTCTTTATGACAACAGCAAGGTGTTGTTTTACAATCATAAATCAGACACATGATTCTCCAGCTTAAAACACTTTAGAAGTACACCTAGTATAAAGAAAAGCCTACCATGAAATTTGGTATAAAATCCAATTCTCTTATCCTTGCTTGAAAGACCTAACAGAATCCGGTCCCAGTCCACTTCTCTGACTCATTTTCTGTCACTGTCAACTCCAGCCGCCCCACAGAGATCACATAGGACCTCCAGATACTATCTCTGCCATTTGCTCGAACGTTCTAACCCCAAGCCTTTGCATATTGTGTTGCATCTTAGTATTTAGATACCAGTTTTAAAAAAGTCATCTTCTCAGAAAAGCCTTCTGGCTTATGATATCTAGAATATCCAACCACAATGTCTAGCAAAACAATATATGCATTTACCCTTTGATACATCAACCCACTTATAGGAATCCATCCCAAAGAAACACTGGCAAAGCCCTGGTTGGAGTGGCTCAATTGGTTGGAGCTTCACAGGTTTGATTCCCAGTCAGGGCACATATCTAGGTTGCAGGTTCGATCCCTGGTCAGGGGTGCATACAGGAGGCAGCCAATTTATGTATTTCTCTCACATTGCGCTCTCTCTCTCTCTCTCTCTCTCTCTCTCTCTCTCTCTCTCTCTCCCTCCCCCCCTTGCTCCCTCTCTAGAATAAAAATAAATAAATATACCCAATAAATAAATGAAATACTGGCAAAACCATGACACAGATAACCAGACATTACATGTCTCTTCCTGGAAGTACACAATACCACCAATGAAATAATCTTGACATGCAAACACACACACACACAAGAATCTGATCAATCTTCTCATTTTATTTTATTGTTTCTATCTCCATTTATCACCCAGATAAATCAATCTTCTCTTGATCTAACTACCAATCCACAGGAAATATAGAAAACATAGGAAAATACAATCAGCAGAATCTAGAATATAAATATGGGGAACAAGCCAGGATAAATACTTTCTTCAACAAAATAAATTACAAAGGGGAAAAACATATGGAAGAGAAATTAGATTAAAAGAAATTTAAGAGAAAAATAATGCATTTACAATGAATGGCCCAGATTTAAAAATACCGTTGAGCATCGCCCTATGAACCAGGAGGTCACAGTTCCATTCTGGTCAGGGCACAAGCCCAAGTTGTGGGCTCCATCCCCAGTGTGGAGCATGCAGGAAGCAGCCGATCAATGATTTTCTCTCATCATTGATGTTTCTATCTCTCTCTCCCTTTCCCTTCCTCTCTGAAATCAATAAAAATATATATACATAAAAAATATTGTGTTAAAAAATACTGTTGAAATAATTGGCCCAGTTTGAAACCTTACATGCTGTAATACTTAAAAATTATGTTAAAGTTTAGTTATGAGAATAGTATTCTGAATGAGTGTTTAAAATGAGTATACATCTTTTAGAGTTATATATTTAAACAGTTATGAATCAATGATATAATGTAGGGATTTGCTTCTAAATAATATGATAAAGTGAGAAAATGGGTAAGAATATAGCTGAAACACGAGTTGACAATTTTGGAAGCTGAGTGATGGACAAATGGAGTAAATTAAAGCAGTATCTCCACTTCTTATATGTTTGAAATTTTCCATAATTGAAATTTATTTAAAAGCCAACCAATCATTCACTATAACACTTTAATTCCTCAGCATATTAATGTTACTACAGTTGACCCTTGCAGGTTTGAAATGCACAGGTCCATTTATTGACACATTTTTCTCAATAAATACTATAAATGTATTTTCTCATCCTTATGATTTTCTTAATAAAGTTTTCTTTCCTCTAGCTTATTTTATTGTAAGAATATAGTATATAACATATATAACATATTACATATATCTTAGTCAATTGTTTATATTATTAATAAGGCTCTGGTCTTAGTAGGCTATTGGTAGTTAAGCTTATGGGAAGTCAAAAGTTATACACGAATTTTCAAGTGTGCTCCTAACCCAGCATTGTTCACGGGTCAACTATATGCAGTTTCTTATTATTCAGTTTGTGATGACTGTCTACCTCTCGCTAAAATAATATTTTTGTGAGAACTAATGCTTAGTTTTTACTGCTACTATCCCCAGTGACTAGAACAGTGCCTGGTTCCTGATTAATATTTCTGAATGAGTGCATAAAACATCTGGGACCTCCCATAGAGTCTAAAAAAATGTTAACTCTAGGATGATTAACAAAGCATTACAGGAAGAGGGTACAGCGGTGGCCGGCAAGGGCTTACCTTCACTTCGATGAAGTCAGGATGCCCTAGAGACACCAACTCAGCATAGGCTTGGAGTTCATCCACATTCCATGCTTTAACTAGAGTCAGTCTGTAGACAGTACGCTGTTGCTAAAACAAAGGAAAAGCCAACTTTGTTTTTACTAGTATTTCGGTAGAAGTTACACCTAGCAAGACTTTCAAATTTCTTCAACCCATAAAGAACCCAGGTAAGGTGAAATCCAGCATGAACTTCTATAAACTTATATCTTTTTAAAAAAATGAAAAGGTATAAACAAAGTTATAAAATTCCCATAAGCCTTACAAAGGCAAAGGTATTAGCATATTTCTTTTCTTTCACTCACAATATCTAACAATATTAGGCACCCAATAGGTTCTTGACAAAGATACATTGCATGAGATTTAGTAAAGAACAATAAGTTGACCACATAGTTTTAGATTGTCAAAAAATTAGATTAAGGAAAAGTAGCCAGTTACCAAATAAAAAGAAAAAAAATGAGCTTTCCTGGCATAGAGTATGAATATTTATCTATATTTTTTTAAGTATGGTGTGAGACAGGGATTCTTTCTCTTCTCTGTGGAACTGAACCAGCATTAAACATTGAATAATTCATTCTCTACTCCTTGATTTGTAATGTCTGCTTGTTGTAATCAAGTTTTCATATATTCATGGATGTTTCTAAACTTTCTACTCTGATATTAGTTTTTCTATCTTGTCACAGTATCACACTAAGTAACTATAGCTTTATAATAAGACTTGATATTTAGCACAAACAACCTTTCTTTGTTCTTCAAAATTGTTTTTCTTCAAAATTATCATGCTTATTCTTAGCCCCTTAATTTTTTTCATATTTACTTTAGCACTAAAGGCCTGGTGCATGAATTCACGCACAGATGGGGTCCCTTGGCCTAGCCAGCGATCGAGGCCTATCAGGGGGCCGGCCAGCCAGCCAGGTGGAGGGATCCTGGGAGGTTGGCTGGCCCCACATCGGGGCCCCGGGAGAAGGACTGGGGGAGATTGGCCAGTGGTGGGGGGGGAGGGGCCATGGGAGGTTGGCCAGTGGGGGAAGGAGGGCTGCAGGAGGTTGGCCAGCTGGGAGGAAGGGCCATAGGAGCGCAATGACCACCAGGGGGCAGCTCCTGCGTTGAGCATCTGCCCCCTCGTGGTCAGTGCATATCATAGCAACTGGTTGACTGGTTGTTCCAGTTGTTTGGTCATAAGGGTTGCTTAGGCTTTTATATCTATAGATTATACACACACACCTTTCCTTTTCCTTGCATTCTCATGTTGTAAATTTCTGTGTTGGCGTGTTAGTATTTCTCAGGGCACTGGTCGTTTTTACACTGTGAAATCTTTGCTGTTCAATATGCCAGTAGAGCCACCTCTTCCAACCTCCCCCTCCAAAGGATGGAGAAATACTGCTCTGTATTACTCCTTTTAAATACTCACCCTAACTTTTTAAATTCTCGCCCTAACCAGTTTGGCTCAGTGGATAGAGCGTTGGCCTGTGGACTGAAGGGTACCAGGTTCAATTGTGGTCAAGGGCATGTACCTTGGTTGTGGACACATCCCCAGTAGGGGGTGTGCAGGAGGCAGCTGATCGATGTTTCTAACTCTCTATCCCTCTCCCTTCCTCTCTGTAAAACTCAATAAAATATTTTAAAAATTCTCTAGAAGGGTATTTTTTCTGCTGTAGAATGTTTGCATACAATCTCTTACTCACCCTGCTGGCTGCTAATGCACCTAGCATGTTTTGTCTGTGCATTTTGCACTGCCCAGCTTTCTCTTGTGGTTTTTCAAGCAATGGACTTAAGTATCCCCTTGACCATATGTCCATTAGATACATTATAATATAGAGTTGTGTGTGTCTATTTATGTATTTATATAAAATATATGTGTGATTTCACCCTCCTCCTACTCCTTCACAGAGGCAATATCTTCCTGTACTCCTCTCTGAGAATCTCATCTGCATGAACTCTTCTTTTGTTAAGAGTGTGTTCCTTTGCTGTGTTGGACTGCACATCACTATTTTGAAATGTCATCTTCAGTGCTAGTTCAATAGTGATATCATAAATTGTGTAGCCATTTCTTGGGATTGAACATCTTCAGACCTTATAATATATCATTATTATAAATAAAGCTGGAACAAGCATTCTTATTCATCAGTATTTGTCCACAATTTTAATTATTTCCAAAGGTTAAATTTTTCCAAAAGCAATTATTGGGTCAATAGATTTGAATATTTTTTAGATTTTTTTTATTTTTAGATTCTTTAATCATGTTGCCATGTTACTTTCTAAAATGTTTGTACTGAACTATGCTTTTACCATCAGTGAATTAGTATGTCTTTCTTGCTAACTAGGCAGCACTGAATATTGCTATTACAAAAAAAAAAAAATCTGTGCCAATTAGATAAGCCAAAGCGGTACCTCATTACTGCTTCAATTTGCATTTCTTTGATTACTAATAACTTGGTGCCATATTTTAGAAGACCATTTTACCTTGTTTTGACATAACCTCAACTCAAGTTCATCTTCAGTTGCAACTATCAAGATAAATCATTGAAATGAAGAGCTGTAGTCCTGGGATAAACTAACATTATCCAGAATGTGTAGCATTGAAAGCTGTCTAATTAGAAGCAATACAACTCTAACTCATAACTATATATTTTTAACTACTTATTATAAATTTTTAAAACATCCAAGAAAAGAAATAATTCCTGTGTAACCATAATTTTAGCTTTGACAGCTGTCAGCATTCTACATTTCTTATTTTATCCAGCTTCTTACTTTTTTTTTTTTTTTTGGTGTGGGGAAGACATTGGAATATTTCAAGTTAAATAACAAACAATATCATTTTATCCATATTTGTATATATAATATAGATGAGGACCTTTAAAATTTGCATATAGGTTTTTTTTAATAGGATTTATTATTAGAGGATATCATATATACAGAAAAGTGCACAGACCTTAAATGAACAGCTTGGTGAATTACTACAACTGTAATCTCTTCAAGAATTTCCCTTCCAGAATTAATTCTAAGTAATTCATCAAAAATGTGAGCAAAGATATGCATAGGTTTTCACAATGATATTAAATAATAGACAAGAAAATAATGTCAAATCCACTTTATGACTGACTATGCACCAATTAAACTTGATGTAATAGTATACTTACACAAAGGATCGCAGTATAGTTCTCAGTGAAAAAAATCAAAAATCTAAATAAGCTTCTACTTTAGGGAAGTAGAAAACAAGAGCAATTTAAGCCTATACCAAGTAAAAGAAAAAAACCAAGACTATAGTATGTTCCTACACACTTTGTGCAGTGACCCCTTGCTTGGTAACAAGTGTCACTCATTTAGATTCCAAGGTGCCAACAAAACCACCAACCAGTGAGTGTGTCTAGGAGACACATTTAGTTAGAAAACAGGAAACAGAATTCAGGAGGGGAAACAGGGAAGGGCTGAGCGAAAAGGGAGAGGAAAGAAAAATGTACTCAAGGAGAATCATAAGATCAAGAATGAAACCTGAGGCCGAAACCGGTTTGGCTCAGTGGATAGAGCGTCGGCCTGCGGACTGAAGGGTCCCAGGTTCGATTCCGGTCAAGGGCATGTACCTGGGTTGCGGGCACATCTCCAGTAGGAGATGTGCAGGAGGCGGCTGATCGATGTTTCTCTCTCATCGATGTTTCTAACTTTCTATCTCTCTCCCTTCCTCTCTGTAAAAAATCAATAAAATATATTAAAAAAAAAAAAAAAAAGAATGAAACCTGAGGACTAAAACTTGGGAAACACTTCCATTGAGAGGAGGGAAGAAGAAGCTTAAAGGAGGAGAAGGCGGCAAAGAACAAGAAAGGAAATGAGAAGAGTGCGATGTCCTAAGAAACCACAGGAGAGTTTGAACAGTACTCGTTACTAATTAAAGATTTGTAAGATGTTATCAATATTTTCTGTTCAATGACATCCTTTGTCCTTTTATTTAATGGACACAGTATTTATTTAATGAGCACAGTAGTTAGAAGGGATTTCACCGATTCACTAAAATTCCCAACTTCAATCTAAATTTTCCTTTAAGCACTAAATTTTTCAAACTTGACTTTTTCTACTACAAGAATTTTTAGAATATAACCTTTACCTATGGTAAAGAAACCACTGTATTCAAAATACAACTCCATTTTGGCTCACTTGGTTGGGCATCATCCAGTGCATCAAAAGGTTGCCAGTTCAATTCTATAGTCCGGGCACATGCCCAGGTTGCGGGCTTCGACAGGGGGCAGCCAATGGATGCTTCTCTCTCTAAAATGCAACTCCACTAACTGAGACCATCTAAAAGATGAGTGGGATATGGTTTTGTGGGCTGTATTTCTCTCCTTTCCTCTCAGAGATTTTTATGAAGAGTTAAATTCTGGAAAATAATGTGGTCTCCAGGCTTCTGTCCTTAGTCCCTACCACCTACCACCCCTAGAAACTGGCAACCAGGAGTCCAGTTTCCCCCGGGGAGAATGGGGAAGATGCACTTAAATGGGGTTCTAAGTATACAAGTGGACCTACAACTGCAGGATTCTCCAGTGTCTTCAGTGACTACCAGATATGTTCAAAGTACATAAGTCAAAATATGGCAATTTTTCCATCATGAGCCAGGAATAGGAAAAAATAAAAATGCTCTTTATGGTAATATAAAACGAAGGCTTCCTTCGGTTGCTGAACTGAGCCTCCCAACATCTTAAGATACATTTCACGAGTTAGGAGAAAGATAACCAATATATCCCTCCACACCCCCTCAGATTTTTAATACAGGCCTAGAGGTTTGTGTTTGTTTGTTTGTTTGTTTTGGGGGCGGGGCATTTTATTTTAACAATCTCCAAATCTAGAAGATATCTCATCAGAAAAACTCTAAAACTGATGGAAATAAAGCTAATATACTCCAAGGGTTACTCAAATTCCATTTACATGATTTTTAACATTTCCAACTTGTCAAAGGTAAAACACCTTTTTTACCCACTGTGTGGCTGGATGAAGTGAAAGTGCAAATGACCGAATATAAATAGTATGTATCTCAATCCAATATCTCAGACTATGAATGAACTAATGGCATACTTTATTTATTC